GGAGGTCACTCCTTCACAGAACTGAATGAATGTCTTTCCAGATGTTTTCATCTGTATTATGTCTCAGCTAGGACACAATACCAAAGACAGGCTCTCATTTAGCAAACAGCCATTGCCCTCTCATCCCACTGTGTCTGACGCTGCCTGTGTCTAATCCTTATGTGGAAGTCCTGACATCTGGTTTCTCCTGTTATCCCTCACTCATCATTCAGGAACTAAACACCTGCATGGTTAGGTTCAGGGAAAGCTTGTGATTGGACCAAAACATCGCTTTGCATCAGAAAACTGCTTGTTCTGCACTGAGAGCATGTCTCACGCTCAGCCGGAAGTCTGGAAACAGCCGGAAGTCTGCAAACAGCCGGAAGTCTGGAAACAGCCGGAAGTCTGGAAACAGCCGGAAGTCTGGAAACAGCCGGAAGTCTGGAAACAGCCGGCCTGACAGGCACTCCTGCTCTTCCAGCTGCTTTGGGATGATGATTTTTTAAATACTCGCTGATGTGTTTGACTAAAATGTTATTTACTATAATTTCTCTTCTATTTCCAACTTCATTAAAGTTGAGACACTCTGTGGCTCGGCGAAATAACAGGAACGATGGTGTCGCAGCGTGCCGATGGACGCCATGTTTAAATTACCCTGAGCTTCTTCCCCTGCGTGATGCCCTGGAAGTAAACATAACAAGAGCTGGTGCTGTTTCATCTGTGATCACGATGACACACAGAACGGGTCAGCCTGTACGTAAAAGATGGACTCCAATTCTGAAGCCACTTTGCAGTTATTTGTAAAAAACGTCTGGAGTCATGTCTGATTCTCGTTCCACGTCTCACGTGTTCACCACTTTGTGTTGGTCTTTCAATTACAATAACATGGATTCATGTTTGTGGCTGTAATGTGACAAAATGTGGGAAAGTTCGAGGGGGCCGAATACTTTTGCAAGCCACTGTAGCTCGGCCCACTCTGTGGCGGCGTTCAGGACGCATGCAGTCACATGACCAGCTCTACGCGGGACATGCCAATCACCCGTCGCACGTTGGTGACCGCAGTGAAACACAAACGCTTCTCGGGCCTGAGGGAGCAGCGGGAACGGGCTTTGGTCTGTTTGCTCAAGTTTGGCTTTAAGCGTCTAAATCTGAGATTCGGGGCTTCGTCTCAGGCGCCCGACGTTTAAAGGTGATAAATGAGAGTCACATGAAGAGCTTACAAGACGCCGCTACCATCGTACACGTTGCTTTCAGTGTTGACACACTTTGAAAGCCAACATTTACACCACTGACAGGTGTCTTACCATACAGCTGTTTGTCTATCAAAAAGTCACAAAAAGCACAAATTAACACACACACAGTGAATGCTCACATGTCAGATATCGTCTCACTTTCACCTACCTGTCTTAACGAATCCACCTGAAAGGACAGCAAGTACGAAACAGGAAGTCAGAGTTAGTCATTTGGTTTTGTGGCAATTCTTAGAAATCATGAAAGCGACACACATAAACGTTTGCAGACAGGAAGGGGACAAAGAAAGCGGCTTACCGACTTCCTGAAGCAACACAGCTGAAGAGAAGAAAGAGAGAGACATGAAGCAGAAGACATCAGAAGGTCTCTGTTTGACACACCTGTCCTCAATCTGGACTTCATGCTGCTGAACGCGTGACAAACGTGA